ACTGAATATTACCCATGGTCAACTGACAATATCAATCAATATTTCCCGTTGATGAGTGACCCACTGCTCTCAGATGAAGCTATGACGTTGCTTGACATCTTCCAGTTTCAGGGTGATGCATCCGGCCATCTTGGAGACGCGCCGCACTATGACTTCCCAGTATTTAATGACAAACCTTCTCAGAGCTCTGAAGAACTCACAACTGAAAGTGATGTAGCCATGGATGACCAAGACTCAGCCACGGAATACTCCATTATTCAGGATCTTACCACTGACGTAGCTCAAGATACGTCGCTACAGGAGGCTCCCAGCGATTTATCAGGACAGGATATGTCCAATCAGAACTCCAGTGTGGAGAACCTGGAAACCGCAAGTCAGACCACCCAGTACCCCATAACAGATGGCCCATCAACTCAATACCCAGATACCCAAGCCCCCAATACCGAGGCCCCAGTCAGTCAGTCTACCACTACCAAAGACCAAGCATCGAGCATCCCGCCGTTGACAATCAGTGCACTCCTCCAGGAAGTGACGAGCCAATCTCCTGTCGTTCAGGACACCACGACGGAACAACCTAGTTCTCAGGAAACGACTGAACAAGCCCGAGATCCCCAAACGACAACCACTCAGGCTCCACTCCCTCTCTACTCCGCTACAATCCCGTCCTCCTTAAGTCCCGCATCAACCCGCGCGGAACCCGACCTTCCTGAACCGAAAACGAGAGAACCTACAACGGCCACCCAAGAACCGACGGAGAACCCAACCGAGGAACCCTCACCTGCGACCCCAACGACGCTTGCAAACCTTCCATCCACGGATCCCCCGACGTCGACGCAAGGCACGAAACGACCGGCGATTCTTCCTTTGTATGATTATTACTACAACGACAACTCTAACGTCCTGCCTCCTGTCCCGGCGAGCAACGAGGAGAGGATAGATCTGGGGGCGCTGGAGAGGACCGGTGATCAGACAGAGGACTACTACTACGAAGACTATTATCCGTCTGACTTCTACCTGGACAACGTTACTGAGGTAGGCCTGTGGTTGCTTTGCATTCGTCTAATGTAGTTTTTTTGTTGTGTCGTTTTGAACATCCTTTGGATTTTTTTTGAGGTTTTATTTTTATTTTCATTCGATATAGTTATACTTACTATTACAATTTGTTGTGCAGGTACATAAGATTCTCTCTCTCTCTCTCTCTCTCTCTCTCTCTCTCTCTCTCTCTCTCTCTCTCTCTCTCTCTCTCTCTCTCTCTCTCTCTCTCTCTCTCTCCCTATTTATATATATGAACACCTGTCTACCTAGTTATGTGTATATATATCTGTCCATACAAACCCATACATATCTCTATTAGTCTGTCTGTCTGCCTACCTACTTACCAATCAGTACGTCTTTCCATATCTCTAACCTCTTCACCCCCCAAACTATTCGCCGCTAATGACCGTAGCTGTTGACGCAGCAGATCATTTGAAATAATCAGTCAATCGCTTCCCTGCCTCACTTCTAATATCCCCCCCCCCATTTTCCCCCTCATTCTCCCCCCTTTTCCCCTCTCGTTCTCCTACCTCCCGAAACCTCACTCACAACCCCTTCCTTTCCCGCAGGATTACTACGACTACACCAACAAGTCCCAATCCGCCCCGATTCTGAATGGCACCGACCTCGACTTCCCCGGACCGAACGCCACGAGTCCTTACCATGATCACCACCATGGAGAGCACCATGGAGACCATCACGGGTCTCATCACCATCCCCAGAGCCAATCGGGACCACCGGCGAAGCTCCTGGATGCTCCGCCGAACAACCCTGGTCTCGAAGCTTCGGTCGAAGGACTCGATCCGGACGTCAGGAAGTTTGTGGATGTGATGAATGACGTTGTTTTTAAGGTGATTGGAGCGCGATGTTTATGGTGTTTATGGTGATTAACGTTATAGGAGTTTGGAGAAGATTGGCACCAAACACAGATAATTTGTAATGAAAATGATAATAATAGTTGTAATGATGATTATAATGATAATAATAATAATAGTAATAATGATAAGAGCAATAAGAATAATCATTAAAAAGTATGATATTGATAACAGTAATAACTATAATATTAATAATAATAATAATAATAATGATAATAATAATAATAATAATAATATTAATAATAATAATAACAATGATAATAATAGTAATAATAATAATAATAATGATAATAATAATAATAATAATAATAATAATGACAGAATTTATAATAGTAATACTGATAATAATAATAATAATAATAATAATAATAATAAGGATGATAATAATGACAGTATTTATAACTGTAATACTGATAATAATATTGGTAATAATAATAATGATAATAATAATAATAATAATAATAATAATGATAATAATAATAATAGCTATAATAATAATAATAATAATAATAATAATTATTATTATTATTATTATTATTATTATTATAATGATACACCAAAATAAAGATGATAATGATAATAATAACAATAATAAAAAACAGCAACAACAACAACAATAATGATGATAATAATAGTAATAATAACAATAATAATGATGATGATAAAACTAATTATAATGATAAGAAAAATGATAATAATAGTATGAATCGTAATGAGGATGATGATAATAATGACAGTAAAAATTATAATAACCGTAATGATAGTAATAATTATAACAGTGGTGATGCTAATGATAATGTTAATAATGATATTAACAGCAGTATTATTAGTACTATTAGCAGGACCAGCGGCAACAGCAATAGTAGTGGTAGTACAAGTAATAGTAGCGATAATGATAATGATTAAAGTTATCTATGAAAATAAAAATAATAACAATAGCAGTAACACAGTGATAATGTTAATGATAATACTAACAACAACAATACCAACACATATGCAACACAAATAACAACACCAACAGCAACAATAACAACAACAACAATTACAACAACAATAACAACAACAACAATTACAACAACAACAACAACAATTACAACAACAATAACAACAACAATTATAACAACAACAATTACAACAACAAAAACAACAACAACAATTACAACAACAACAATAACAACAACAACAATAACAACAACGACCCCATCCTCAGGTGTACAAGAAAGCTGCCAGACAATACAAGAGGAAAAACTTCGTCATGTCCCCCTTGAGTCTAATCTCCACCTTGAGCATGCTCCTCCTTGGGGCTCGAGGAAAATCTGCAGCGGCCCTGAGCGACCTCCTCCTCACGGATCAGTTCTACACATTCAATCCTCACCTCATACTCAAGAACGTGACTCAAGTCCTACTCGACAATGACGGCGCTCATGACGTGGTGTTCCTCAACCAGTTCCTCGTGGAGAAGGTAAGGGAGGATGGGTAATGGGGGGGGGAGGAAGGGAGGGGGTGAAGGGAAGGGACGTTTGGGGGGATGGAGGGAGCGTGGATGAATAGAAGGAGAGAAGGAGGGAAGGAAGGAGGGAGGGAGGGAGAGAAAGAGAGAGGGAGACAAGGAGAGAGCGAGAAAGAAAGAGAGAGGTAGATAAATAGATAGATAGTGAGTAAGAGACAGAAAAAACAATATAGACAGATTGAAAGAGAAAGAGAATAGAAAGAGAAAATTAATTAAAAAACAAAACAAAAAAAAAGCGAAAGAAAAAGAAAAATCAACCCACAACAACCCCCTCCCCCCCTTCTTACCCCCTCCACCACCACTACCCCCCCCCCCCCCCGCTAACCTAACCTAACCTTTCACATTTCAGCCCAAGAACCCTTACTCCCTAGACTTCTTCGCCCGCACCATCAAGTTCTTCTACGACGCCAGCGTGAGCCAAGTCACGCCCCCCGAGCTCGACTCCCACGTGCGCGACCGAGTCAACGAGTTGGTGAGGAACGTTACCTTCGGCGCCGTCGGGGACTTCCTCCTGCAGGACGAGCCTCTTTACCTGACTCCGCCCCTCAGCGCCGTCTCGACCAATTTCTTCCACGTGAGTTCGCTTTTTTTTTACACTTGTTCTTTTTTTCTTCTTCTTCTTTCTTTTTTATCATTTCCCTCTTCTTCTCTTCTTTTCAGTTCTTTGTTTTTATTCTTCTGTCTTCATCTTCATATCCTCTTTTTTCTACCTCATATTTGTTTTCTTCTTCTCCCTCTTCTATTTCTTTTCTTTTTCTCTTTCTTTTTCTTTTTCTTTTTTTTTCGTTTCCTTTTTCTTTTTCCTTTTCTTTTTCCCCTTATTTTCCTTTTCTTTTGCTTTTGCTTTTTCTTCTTCTTCCTCTTCTACTTCTTCTTCTTTTTCTTCTTTTTCTTCTTCTTCTTCTTCTCCCTCTTTATCTTCTTCCTTCTAGTTTTCCCCTTCTTCCTCTTCATTTTAATCGTCATACTGTTATCATCATCATAATTATCTTTAAGTTCACTGACTCCTTTGAGGTATATCGAATAGATATATAAAAGATATTTAAATAAATAAATAAACAAATAAAAAATAATAAAAGAAGAAAGAATCAAATCAACAAAAAAGATATTTGATAAGAAGAAGAAACGAACAAATATTTAGATAAATAAATAAATGAAGTGAAAAAAATATGTATATATAAACATACAAGATCCTCGAAAGTCATGATAACAGACCATCTCCGTGTTTCAATCCCGACAAAAATCTGTTTACGGGAAGCAAATACTTATGCCTGACATTGGCTGACCTGGCCAAAGGAGGGAAGAGAGAGAGAGAGAAGAGAGAGAGAAGGAGGGAGAGAGAGAAGAGAGAGAGAGGGAGGGAAGGAGGGAGAAAGGGAGAGAGGGAAGAGAGAAGAGTGTGTTTGATTGAGGCAGACATACAGATATGCACACACACATAGACATACACATATGTATATAAATTTATTTATTATGATGTGTGTGTATGTGTACGTGTGTGTGTGTGTGTGTGTGTGTGTGTGTGTGTGTGTGTGTGTGTGTGTGTGTGTGTGTGTGTGTGTGTGTGTGTGTGTGTGTGT